AAAAAAAAAAAAAAAAAAAAGGTAGTTCCTGCCTTCTAGACGTACAAGTTCTGTCAATGAGGCGGTACTACAGACAACAATTCAGTATCATCAGTGTTGTAGTAGCATGCGGACACATGACTGATAAGGACTAGCTGTTAAAGATGTACAGCAAAACAGCGATTGCAGTTACACAGCAAGAACTTCATATCCCATAACACTTATCAAGACACAGAAACAAAGTTAAGTCTTTTTCAGAGCCATGGGAAAAACCAGGTAACCTGATGAAGCTAGTTCTCTTTTTTTTTTTTTTTTTTGAGACAGAGTCTCGCTCTGTTGCCCAGGCTGGAGTGCAGTGTCATTATCTCGGCTCACTATAAGCTCCGCCTCCTGGGTTCATGCCACTCTCCTGCCTCAGCCTCCCGAGTAGCTGGGACTACAGGCGCCCACAACCACACCCAGCTAATTTTTTGTATTTTTAGTAGAGATGGGGTTTCACTGTGTTAGCAAGGATGGTCTCCATCTCCTGACCTCGTGATCCAACCACCTGAGTCTCCCAAAGTGCTGGGATTACAGGTGTGAGCCACCGCGCCTGGCCAAAGCTAGTTCTCTTTTATTTGAAACTCACTCTGACACTGAGAGTAGCATTAGCACATTCACTTCACGTTGTAAATGAAACTCAGGGTCTAAAAGGAATATACCGGAGGCCTCGTGCAGTGACTCACGCCTGTAATCCCAGCATTTTGGGAGGCTGAGGCGGGTGGATTACTTGAGCTCAGTGGTTTGAGACCAGCCTCGGCAACATGGTGAAACCCTGTCTCTACAAAAAATACAAAAATCAGCTGGGCATGGTGGCACATTCCTGTAGTATCAGCTACTTGGCGGGCTGAGGAGGGAGGGTCACTTAAGTTTGGGAGGTCCAGGCTGCAGTGAGCAGTGCTCACGCCACTACACTCCAGCTTGGGCAAAAAAAAGTGACGCCCTTTCTCAAAAATAAATAAATAAATAAGAAATAAAACAACTATACTAGAGTCATCATGTCTGTAACAGTCCTAGTTCCCAGATCCAAATCCCACTGTTGCCTCTGTACATCTTAAACTGACAAGGAAACAGAGGACAGAGGACCTACTGCTCAAGAACACAAAGATAAATATAGGACACTTACACCATCCAGTCCATCATGGCTATTGGTGAGAAGAATGGGGTCAGGGACTGGGAGATTCATGTCAGAGTGGATCTGAGTTAGGTCATGGATGTTTAAGATTGGTTCCTGAAAGACACCCACCCCAAAACATTAATCTTTTCAAGCTGAACAAAGAAGTATTTGATTGAAGAGCAAGAAATGAAAGCGCTTTTACAGTTTAAAAAAATAAAAAGAAGAATCAACACACAATTTGTTCCAGTTGACAGTAATACCAGGGCCAAAAAAATAGGGGAATTTGAGGAAAGAAAAGGGTCTCTCACCTTCAGAAAACTATCAAGTTCTAACAACTTCTTTGGGAAAAAATTTGCCACCAAGTCTTCTGCCTAAGGAGGAGGGAAAATACAGCTGAATTAATATCTGTGGGAAGGTCTCTCTCTCTCTCTCTACAGATATCTCCTCTTTGGGAAACTCTCAACCAACACTCATTTTTCTATTTATTTCACTCACCTCACTTGTGATGCGTTCCCTGAAAGAATCAACCTAAAATTAACAAAGAGAGCAATTCAGTACCTGGGGACAGAGGTAAGAGCAGGATAGAGAATCCCAAATCCAACTGTCTTTCCCTCACCTTGTAACTGTAATAAGAAGCTGAGAGGCCCCCAGACTGCAAATACTTTATTTTTTTGAGGATCCATTTTTCCATCTCAGGAGAAGAAAGCAGGGCTTTGAGGGCAGCACCTGCCTGTCTCCTCTCTCCTCTCCCCTCCCTCCCTCCTGTGTCTGAAGCTGTCTGAATTTGATAAGCAGACAAAAGACAGGTAGTTAGGAAAGATGTGAGCTCACAAACGTGCCAACCCCCACCCAGACCTGGCCTATGATACCAGGCAGGGCAGCCACCAAGAGCAGGGGCAGTGTCCAGGGACGTTGTTGGGCTGGGGGATTTCCAGCTGTCACTGGCCTAAAGCCCTGAGTCCAACACGTGTCCGCGGAGGTGTCCCCGGGACTCTCCATCATCAGACGCGGTACAGAAAGCCATCCTATATTTTCCTCTCCCGCGAAGCCGACCCCGGGAGTTGGGGGCTGGGCTGAGTCGAGCGGAAGCTCAGAGCTGGTATCCCCAGGGAGACAAAGACGACATGGGGAGTAGGAAGTCAGTCAGACTGCTGGGGGATCAAAGCGAGGGGCAAAAAGGCCGGACCGGTGCCGCTACCTTGAGCTTCACTTCCTGATCCACCTTCAGCAACGAGGCCATGGCCGGGCCGGGCCGTGTCCGATCCGCTGGACACCGGAGGCGCTGTGGACTCCAGGGAGGGGGCCGGAGGGACCTGAGAAATCTCGGCTGACCTCGGGACCCGGCCGCCCTCGCTGGCTCACTCACTGCTCGCTTGCTCCCTCCCTCCGTGCCGTCCGCCCGCCCGCCGGCAGCCTGCTGCCTGGTTGCTCTCTCGCTCGCCCTCCCGGCTTTCGCCGCTCACGCCGGAAACTGCGTCACAGCCAATCGCCGAGACTCCTGCGAGGCTGTGCACGTGCGCTGCGCAGCCGCGATGAGACTCGGGTTTGGATGCTCCCCGGGGTAAAGTGTTGGGTAGGGGTGAAGTAAAAAGGAGAGCTGTGGGGAATGGTGCGCTGAGAACTGAGCCTCCGAAAGACTCGGAAACGGTGCGACCCTTTCTGTTGGCCCGGAACTCGCCTTCACCGAAGGGACCTCAGTCGCTGCAGTCCCGGGGACAGCGCCGTCGCGCCCCAGTGACGTAGGTTCGGGGAAGTCGGGGACCCGGGTACTGGGTTCGGGGGTGTAGTCCCTGATTCCCGCTGCCTCTGCCCGTTTGCCGAGGCTCAAGTGTTTAGGCTAGAGCGAAAAACACAAGTGCGGTTGTACCAAGCTTTCCTGGTACATTTCCCTGCCAACTGACTGTCGTAAGCTTCCGGACCTCAAAGATCAACTACCTAATGGGCAAATTGATGCCCAGAGTAGGGCAAGACTTGTCCAAGGCGTTTCCAGTACATCCTGAACCAGGACCCAGATCTCCTAACTTCTATGGCAGTGCTGTATCTATTTGCCTAATGGAAGCTTAAGACTATACCTCTTCATACACCCATTCATTCGATCTCTCTCGACATTGGATATTTCATTCAATAAAATGGGCCAGGGCACTGTCTCAGATTCTAGAAATATGTGAGTTACATATGTAGGTTGAAATCTTCTAGTAGCCACAATTAAAAAGTAAAAGAAACAAGTGAAAATTTTAGTCATATATTTAACCCAATTTATCCAAGTCCTTCAACATGTAATCAACATTAAAAAATCGAGATCTTATGCATTCTTTTCTCATACCAAGTCTTCAAAATCCAGTGCATATTTTACACTTAACTGCACATCTCAATAAGAAAATAACACATTTACAGTACAGTGCTCAGTAGCCACATGTGGCTGCTGGCTTCTGTATTGAACAGCACAGCTCTGGGAAATCAAAGGCAAACAAGATTCAAGGTTGCTGGTCTCATGGGGCATAATATTGGAAAAACACCAGAAAGTAAACTGACAAAGTAACTGCAAAATTTGATAAATATTAGGAAACAAGTGGATGACATAGAAAATACCAGAGATCTATTTTAGATCGAATGGCCAAGGAAGGCTTCTGAACAAGTGACAAGCTGCGATCTAAAGGACATAAAGGGGTTAGCATGGAAAGAGTGAGAAGAGCCTTGAGAGGTATAAGTGCAGCAAATGCTCTAGGGAAGGAAAGAGACTGTCTTGAAGACAAAGACTGGTGAGTTGGGGGTGAGGAGGGTTATTAGTAAACAATCTAGATTAAGTGCAAAAAGAGGTCATCAGATTTATATTTTGGGGTCGCTCTTGCTGTTGAACATTTATCCTGGACTGGCCTCTCTACTAAGTGCTAGGAGAATGAGGGGAATACACAATTAAATGGAGTAAAGCACAGAAGACTGACTATGGCCTTTGGAATCAGAGACCTGTGCCTCAAATCCCACCTCAGCTCCTTACCAACTGGAATCTTGGGCAAATTATTGAAATGCTGAGTCAATTCCCTCATCTGTAAAATGGAATTTTAATAATTAGTAATAAATAATAGTATGTAATATTGTAGTGTTGTGAATATTAGAAATAATATATGTAAAACAATTAGCACAGTGCTTAGATACAAAATAAATAGTAGCCACTGTCAGATAAGTAACTGATCTGTTAACGCTTAGCATGAAGAGGTTAGTCCTTAAATTACAGTAATTATTTTCATTCCTGCTTTCAAGCTCAAAGTCCTTTTCAGCTTATAGAAGGCCACATATAACATAGCTCATACTATCCATCTTGCTCATAAACATCTAACAGTTTTCCCCCTTTTACCTCTGTTTTCTGTTAACACATTTCCCCGGGAACTGTTGAGATCCGATTTGAAACTTCAGGAATTATTTCCCACATTAACTCCATCCTATTTTAAGTATGCCACTATTCTGTATTTCTTTCAGAATTTATAACATCAACTGGAAAACTTAATATGTTTGTGTCTGTTAAAATATGCTTTGTTCTCAAATAATTATGTTTTGTCTCCTTCAAGTAGGTTATAAGACAGATACACATTCTCTTTATTTCCCTTCCTCCTCCCCATCCAAGTGTTTTATATAATACTCTATTCATTCATTTGTTTATTCAGTGAACAACTGGAGGGTACCACTACATTTAACAATAACTATTCATTTCTGGGTGCTTACAAGTCACATGTGATCACTGATGACTGGTCTAATTTTAAATTCATGTCCCAAAATCTCATATGAGTGCACAACACTGCCTGAGCTCCTACTACATGCTCCTGACGAGTTTGCTCTCCCCCTCCCAATGACTGTCATACTTTCTCATCTCCCTGAACCTCCAGTATTCCTTCTCTCCCACCTCCAACTTAGGTCTGGGCTCATTCTTTATTGAGAAAACAGAAGCAAATGAGAACTTCCTCATCATCTCACCACCAAATCTGCCAATCTGCAAAATACTTTCTGCCTTTCCTCTTTCATTGAAGGAAACATACCTGTTCCCATCTCTTCCTTTTGTTCCTTGGATTCCATCCCCTTTCACTTTCTCAATGTCTGTGCCCATGATTAGCCCCTCGTTTTCCTACATCACATTTCTCCTCTGCTGGGTCATTTCCAGACATGACCAATATCCCCTATCTTGAGAAAACTCCCCCCGCCGAATCCAGGTTCCTCTGTAGCTATTACTCCCTTTCTGTGCTCTCTTTCCTGGCAAGACTTCTTGAATTATTTATTGTCTCTTACTCTACTTCCTCATGCCCCCTTTACTCCAGTCCACTCTAATCAGACTTCTCAACCCCACTTTCTCAATGATACAATTTTTGTTAGGTTACCAGTGACTTCCATGTTGACAGTACCAGTGGTCACCTCTCATCTTATTTGAACCTCTCAGTAGTACTCAACATCTTAGCCACTCCCCTTCTTAAAATACACACAGCAACCTGTTCTGATCTTTCTCCAGCCTCAACAGTGATTCCCCATTTCCTTTGCTGGCTCTTCCTCCTCTGCTCCACTTCTTAATGGTGGCATGCTTCAGGAGACTTATGTCGTTTATTCTCTACTTACACTTTCTCCCTAAGAGGATCGATGCATGTTCATAGCTTTAAGTATCATCTGTATGCGGCCGGGCACAGTGGCTAATGCCTGTAATCCCAGCACTTTGGGAGGCCAAGGCAGGCAGATCACCTGAGGTCGAGAGTTCGAGACTAGCCTGAACATGGAGAAACCCCGTTTCTACTAAAAATACAAAATTAGCCGGCACGATGGCACATGCCTTGTAATCCCAGCTACTCGGGAGGCTGAGGCAGGAGAATCACTTGAACCTGGAAGGTAGAGGTTGTGGTAAGCCAAGATCGTGCCATGCACTCCAGCCTGGGCAACAAGAGCGAACTCTGTCTCAAAAAAAACAAAAAAATCATCTGTATGCTGATTTGAGGGCCCCAGGTTCGTATCTCCCATCTGACATCTTCACTGAGTTCCAACCATCTATTTGATGTTTCTACTTGGAAACCTAATGAGCATATCAAACTTAACATGGCCAAACCAGAATTCTTGATTCTCCCACACACCTGTTATTTTCCTATTCTTCTCCATCTCAGTAATTGACATAACTGTTCACCCAGTTGTTCAAACCAAAAACCTAACAGTCAATCTTGATTCCTCTCTTTCCCTCATGTTTCCACATTCAATCCATCAGCAGGTCCTGTCAGCTTTCCCTGTATAATGCATCCTGTATGAGTGTGCTTTCCTCCATCTCTTGTTAGCCTGGCCAAAGCCACTGTCATCCTTTGCTAGGACTATTACAATAGGCTCCTATCTGGTCTCTCCATTTCCACTCTTGCCACCCCCTACCAACTGTCACATTCTATTCTTCACTCAGCACCAAAATTTATCATTGATTGATTGATTGACTGAGACAGGATCTTGCTATGTTGCCCAAGGTGGTCTCGAACTCTTGGGCTCAAGGGATCCTCCCGCCTCAGCCTCCTGAGGAGCTGGGATTACAGGTGCACACTGGGCCAGCTCAAAATAATTTTTTAATATATCAACCACAGACATGGTAGCATCTACTCAAGCTGAATATCTATACCTAGGGAAGACAGGGAAAGAGAGAGAGAGAGATCCCAGAAACCTCAATTCTAGGGACCCACCCAAGAGAAATGCATAAATATATTCACCAAAAGACATGAACAAGAATGTTCACAGCGACGCTATTCACAATAGACCCAACTGGAAACTACCCGGATGCCTCTTAACAGCAAGAGAGATATCTGTATTTTAATATAGTCACACAATGGAATACTACAAAGTATTGAGAATGTATGAACTAAAACTACACAAGGTGGGTGAATCTCATGATAAGCAAAAGAAAACAGAAACAAAAGAGTATGTCATGTATGATTCCATTTACATGAAATTCAAAAAACAGTCAAAACTCAATCTAGGGTGTCAGAATTGATGATATTGTTTGCCCTTAGGGTGGGCATCAATTAGAAGGAGGCATGGGAGAGGGAGTTGGGTGTTAGTTACATTGACGTGTTCATTTTGTAAAAATTCATTGAAAATACACATACGATTTATGTCCTTTCCCCTATATATTCTATCCCCCAGTAAATAGTTTCTTTTTAAGTCACCCAGTCATGTCTCTTCCCTACTTATCACCCTCAGTGGTTTCCAGATAACACAGGCCTTCCTGAATCCCCCAGTTGAAGTAGCTCCTCCCACCCTGCCCCCACTTACTCTCTATCACATCACCCTTTCACCTACTGTATTAGCTTTCCAGGGCTGCTGTAGCAAAGTACCACAAAGTGGATGGCTTAGAACCAGAAAAATATATTGTCTCAGAGTTCTGGATGCTAGAAGTCCAAAATTAAGGTATCAGCGGGACCATGTTCCTTCTAAGGGAGCCAGAGAAGAATCCGTTCCAGACCTCTTTCCTGGCTTCTGGCAGCCTCAGGTCTTCCTTGGCTTAGAGGTCACCCTGTGTTTCTTTACATCATCTTCCCTCAGACACAGTACGTGTCTGTCTCTGTGTCCAGATTGCCCCTATTTATAAGGACGCAGTCATATTGGTCTAGGGCTAACATTAATGACCTCATCTGCAACGATCCTATTTCCAAAAAAGGTGACATTCCCATGTGTTAGTCCCAGATGTTAGGACTTCAACATCTTCTGGGGGCCACCACTCAACCCATAGCATGTGCCATTATTTGAAATTATCTTATTAACTTGGTTACATGTTTATTGTCAAATTCTCTCCTCTAGAATATAAACTATCAGACCAGTTCACCAGTATATCCTCTCAGACCTAGAATAGGGACTGGCACATAATAGATCCTCAATAAACATCTGTTGAATCGATGACTGAGGATATGTTGTAGATTATTCACTAATCCCTCAAGCACTACATACACTGACTACATATACTTCCCAAGTGGGAGGGCACACAGAGCATTCACTATGTAACAGTCATTGCCCTGTGTTCCACTTGTATCAGCTCATTTATCACACTACCCTTTATGATATTTACTATTGTATACTATTATTCTCATTTTGTAAATAAGAAAACAAAGCACAGAACAGTTGAATGAATTGCACAAGGTCACATGGCTAGTGGATGGTAAAGAACCAGGTGGTCTCAACTTCCAAATCTTCAGTTGTGACACTATATGCCCTACCTCTCTAGAAGCCCGTTACTTCTCTATGCTTTTCTGAGATGGTGTTAGGGACAGCCAAGCAGGAAGAAACGCAGGACGATGAAGCAGCCATACCAGGACTAGGGGAGAATTCTTTGGGGATGATTCCAGTCACCTCTCCTAAAGGGGCTTTCATGCTGAAAGAGCCAAGAAGAAGAAGGATTGTAAACACTATCCCTAGTCACAAAACCAGGAGAAAAATCAATCTAGTTCCACATATCACATCCAATACCAACTATAAGAAGACCACATACATTTAAAAGAAAAGAAAGACACTTCTGGAAGTGGGAATAACTTTCTAAGCAATATAAGTCATCAAGAAAAATAAGCAGATTTGACTTGAAAATTTATAACTTTCTGAACATCAGGAAAATACGTTAAAGCATTTTATGAAAAATTGCTACAAATACTGAGAAAAATACTAAGAATTCAATACCTAAATAATGAAAGAATGCAAACATAATTCATAAAAAAGTAACTACTGCTTGAGCCTGGGAAGCAGAGGTTCCAGTG